TTGGTTAACCTTCTATTGTTAGACTATAAAGCGAGTCAAGTCATTTGGGCTAACTCACTAGTTACATATATATACACAAAAGAAACTGCAACAGGTTCGACCAAATAATGATGGAAATATCATGAACAGAACATGTGAGCAATGAGGAAATTTGGGAATTAAAAATAAAGCACACTCGTACTCGAGGTTAGGACCAGAAAAAGATAGTTGTAATTTCTGGGACACATAATAAGGAAAGATTCATTTTTTTACGGCTTATCAACCCTTTGTTCCCTTGCACTATTTATATTAGGACTATTGTCTTCATCTTTTGTGTTATTATCGAAAACTTTCAGACGTTATTCGCCCAGGCCTTCCTCACGTGTATGTCGATCTGGTTAACCTACAAGAAATGAACACTTTATTTAATTTAAAGGGGTAGAGAGGAACCCGGACGAGCCTTTGCTGAAGGGTAGAGTCTCGTCCGGGGAAGTAGACAGACCCGACCCCGTTTATGCGGGTCTACGGTGAATTTTGGGCCGAGCCTACGGGCTCGGATTTGCCCCTCATTATATTCGACCTTGTTCTACATCCTACCTCCTGGGGAGGTCGGTAAATATTACTGGCTTCTGTTGTTTAGTTGCTGTCGTTACTACTCTCAGCAAATCTTGTAAATATTTATTAATCCTAGAACACTAACCATCAATTAAAGTTACACCACTACTAACCATGGGTATATCATACCCGATTTTGAAAATATCAAAAAAAAAAAAAAATAAATATAAATCTTTATTTGAAATATTTTACATCCAGGGACTTCAAACTTTGTACTTTGAGTTAACATTAATAGGAACTGAAAAACATATTTAGTTAAAAAATCAGGTACTGATAATTGTAATTAAAAATAGGAAAATTTGCGCTGGGTACTATATACCTATGGTTAGTGTTCTCGGGTTAAACAGAAACAGACCAGGAAGCAGTAACTATGCACGCTCTCAAAGATGGATACATGATACTGAAAACGATTAGCGCTTCTATTTTATTAACACCAAAGTCGTAGCCAATGAACCAGACAAGGCTGCGTGCCTCATCAAAGAAGAATGGTATTCGCCAAAAGAATCCATTAATCGTCGCATCCAAGTTGGATATCAATTTATTCAGCAGCAGCTGCAGAAGCGAGTTGATCACGTGACACACGGGGGCGATTAGCAAGCGCGCTCTATCTTTAGAATTCCTTAGCTAATAAGAATTCAAAGGGGCCAATCGGAACGCGTTGAATATCGAAAGCCCAACGGGTTAAAACGACCGATGATAAGACGCCTTACATGTAGAGGCGAATTGTGAAGTTGACTTTTGCCACTGGTCCCTTACCCTGAAGATGACTCCAGACGCAGCAACTGAACGCTCCAAAGGAATGAATAAATCGTAGTCTCTAATATTGCTCCCGGAACGTATATATACAGATCTATGTTTATTAATAGACTATTGTTTTTACCACGTCATGTGAAATCAGCTTTGGTCAGGGACCGTACGAAATCGCTTTACGGAACGAAGATTGCTCGCGGATGGTACGTTGAATAGGATTGACCTTTATTTCGAGTGGCTGATGTAAAGGTTCTCGGCCTCTCTAATTCCAAAAATAAATTCTGATGTTTGCTCATTGGGTTAGAACACAGCGAGGTCAGGACTTAATGTTCCTTAATTTATCCTGTGGCCAATCTGGTTTTGTACTCTGGTTTTGGAACTTACGGCAATATCACGTTGAAGCAACAGTTTCAGTACGATCACCGAAGTTAAGCAACGTCAAGCGTTTTTTTTAAACCATTTCTGCAAAATTTCTTCATTTTAATTCTCTTACTCAAAGTCATATGTTTCAAATAATAATAATAATAATAATAATAATAATAATAAAGCAAAACAAGTTGGCCAAATTAAATTACAAAAAAGAACTGGACGGACAAGGCGTTACATGGCAAATATAAAAAAAGAAAGAAAAAATCAGATGTAGACCAACAGAAAACACAGCAGTTGCTGAGGAGCACCGAGTTTAAAGCCACGAGCGGAGGCCTAAATATTGCAGCTCAGGACCAAAATGCCGCAACCAGATCCCGCCAAATTTCTTCATTTTAATTCTCCTACTTAAAGTCATCTGTACCAAATAATAATAATAATAATAAAGCGAAAAAACTTGGCCAAATGAAATTACAAAAAAGAAAGGGAGGACAAGGCGTTGCATGGCAAATAGATAAAACGAAAGAAAGAAAAAAGATGTGCACCAACAAAAAACACATCAGTGGCTAAGGAGCACCGGGCTGAAAGTTGAGACAGAACACCTAATTATTGCAATTCAGGACCATAATGCCGCGACCAGATCCTATCACTGTCATATAACCAAAGATGGAACTAACCTGAAATGCAGGATCTGCGGAAAATATGAAACCGTCGACCGTATTATCTCAGGATGTCCGGAATTGGCAAAAAAGGAATATACCCAGAAACATAAAAAGGTAGAAACATATGTGCATTGGAAGATATTCAAGAAGCACAAAATCGAAACCACTGAGAAATGGTATGAAAACCAACCAGACACATTTATCCAAAATAACGACGTAACTATCCACTGGGACATGCCAATCAAAAACTAACGGGGAAATAACAGCCTTAGGACCTGATAATATCATAAACGACAAAAAATTCAGGAAGTGTATGCTTATTGATATAGCAGTACCATATGAGAGAAACACCTGCATAAAAATTATAGAGAAATTATCCAAATAGAAGGACCTGGAGATCGAGATTAACAGGATGGGGAAAAGAAGACTGAGACTGTGCCAATAGTAATCGGAGCACTGGGCCTCTTGAGAAAAGGAATGGGCAATTTTTTAACAGTATCTCAAGTAACATCAACATAGGAGTTGACCAGAAAATCGCTCTACTAGGAACATCTTATATACTAAGAAAAGTGCTATCAGTTAAATGAGAATTCTCCTATAGGGCCTAAGGACCATAGTTTGGACCCATCTGCAGGATACAAAGCAGGAAACATGACACACAAACAATAATAATAATCTTGTATTAGGTTGAGCGGTATGGTCACCCACTGAAAATGAAACAAAGGACGACAGAGTGGGTCAATAACTGCACTGGAAAATCAGTAACACGGAAAAGAAATTGCAAGAAATTAGTATGAACACCACTCAGATCCGGTTACGAATATAGGACCTGTAACAATTTTATGGGATTTTACAATACACAAAGACAGAACAATCAAATCTAATCGCTCTGGGACCGTGATTAGAGACCACAAAGCCAAAATGGCATGCAGACTGCAATGTATCTTTGAAGATCTTCAAAAAAATATCAAAATACAAGGACCTTGAAATCGAAATATCAAAAATGTGGCGCAAGAGGACATTAACAATTCCAGTTGTAGTTGGAGCCCTCGGATTAATTGGAAAAGTTCCCAATAGTCTCACTGAAGTAATCCGTGGTAGCCCATGACTTAAAGAAATGCAAAAAAATTGTACTCACATGTACAGCCCACACTTTACAAAGGGCATTATCTATGTAAAAGATGTCCCATATTTTTTTTTTTTTGCTGCTCAGTGGAAAATGTCATGGTGCCATTTATGACCTTAGGTCTCTGGTCGGGACCCGGAAAGAAATGTGTATACACCAGAAACCAAAAGAAACAAAGTAATAATAATAATAATAATAATAATAACTGGTATGAACACCACCCAGACCCGGTTACGGAGATAGGACCTGTTACAATTCTATGGGACTAAACAATACACACTGACAGAACAATCAAGGCCAACCGGCCAGACATTGTTATTAAAGACCACAAACAAAACGGTGCCTCCTTATTGACATGGCAGTCCCTGCTGACTGCAATGTATCTTTGAAGATATTCAAAAAGTTGTCAAAGTACAAGGACCTTGAAATAGAAATCTCGAAAATGTGGCATATGGGAACATCAACAATCCCTGTTGTAGTTGGAGCCCTAGGACCGGTTGGAAAAGATTGCAGTAGACTAATTGAAGGGATTCCTGGAAGTTCATGCCTCAAGGAGATAAAAAAAATTGTTCTGACAAGTACAGCCCACACCTTACGAAGGGCTTTATCTATGTAATTTAATTCTTTTTTGTTTTTTCTTTTTTTGTCAGTGGAAAGTGTCATGACGTCACTTCTAACCTAAGGTCTCTGGGCGGGACCCGGAAAGAAATGTGTAAACGCCAGAAATCAAAGAAAATAAAAAAATAAAAATAATAATAATAATAATAATAATAATAATAATAATAATAATAATAATTATTATTATTATTATTATTATTACATAGCGTCATATCTTTTTGTAACAGATATGATCGATTTTTAAAAAAAATCTCTCCTCTAATGAATGGGATGGTCCATTTGCTTCTTTTTTATTCATCGTTTAAAACATCCTTTGATTATTATATTTAATCTTTAATTGGGCACTCCGACGTGGTGTTAATAATTAGCGTACTCGTCTCTCTAGATCAATTACGCTTTTATATTGAGTGGCGGATTTGTCTCATTCTGTATTCTTACAGGCTTACAGCCATGTCACGTTAAAACACTAGTTCCTCTACAATCATTGAAGTTAAGCAACGTTGAGCTTGGACATTAGTTAGATGGGTGACCACTTAGGAATAACCACGTGCTGTAAGCTTGGATGTGCAGGTGATATAATGCTTAACGGCTTGGAATTGTTAATCATAGAACAGAGTTCAGGTTACAGTGGGGTTCGTTATATTCACACGCGCAGATACCCCTGGGAAAGGTATGAATTCACCTTTCTCCCCCAGTTATGGGTTAATTAGCATAATTTGTAAAATAAATATCATTATTGCCCCCAAAATCTTCTGAAAATCTAAAAAAAAAATTTTCCGCCTTTAGATAACCTGCAAAGGGTTGATAAGCCGTAAAAAAAAATAAATCTTCTTTCCAACTTTTTATTGTGTAGCGAGTTCGTCTTATTTTGTATTCTTGCAGGTTTACGGCCATATCACGCTAAAACACTAATTCCTCTACGATCATCGAAGTTAAGCAACGTTGAGCTTGGTCATTACTTAGATGGGTGACCACTTACAAATACCACGTGCTGTAAGCTTGGATATGCGGTGATATAATAGATAACGAATTGGAATCGTAATTTTAATTCCAGTTGGGTTTGGTATATTCACGTACCCTTGGGAAAAGTATGAATCCTCCTCCTCTCCTCCCAGCTATGGGTTAATTAGTAAGACTGGTATAAATAAATCATTATTTTCTTTAAAAATACTCTTACATTTTAAAAATATTTTATGGCTGTAAATAAGCTTCAAAGGGTTGGTATTCATTCGTTTTATTCAGTTAGTACATTTTTCACTGGTGTGTTCACGAACCCCCCTCTCACAATTGTGGTTCATGGTGACATTCAAGACTGAATAGTGCAATGTCTTCCTTGTTTTTTTTTTGCACCAGGGATGTTCATTATTTACATTATTCGGACTATTGTGCTCATCTTTGTCGCCATATTTATCACAACGTTTCGGCCGTTGTACGCTCCGGCCTTCTTCAGGTGGTTGGAATTTCGAACTGAACCCTTCATTTCGCTCACTGGGGTAGACTGTTCTACTTCCACGTGCCATGTTTGACGGATGTCAGTTAACAGTAATCTCCTGTTAATTTCCCTCTGAAAGTTCTCCACTGCCTTAGCCGGGTACTGAACTCACACTCTTTGGGTTCTGTCACTGGATCCACAACGCCTTTATTCACTGGGTATTATAAACCTAATGTCTTCAGCAATCATTTTTTACCAGTGCTCATATTGCAATTTTGCTGTTATCATTGCATGTTTTTACCAGAGCTCATATTGCAACATGGTTGCGCTTTTCTCTGGCACTCCTTATTTCTGGTTCCCATATTGTATTTATTTCTATGCTTGGTCGGCTCAGGAGATTCCAACCACCTGAAGAAGGCCGGAGCGTACAACGGCCGAAACGTTGTGATAAATATGAAGATAAAGATGAGGACAATAGTCCGAATAATATAAATAATGTACACAATACCTCATCTCAGAAATATAGACAGGCACCAGGGATGTTGTTATCTTGTCCCTTCTTTCAGAGGTGGATTTGCATAAAAGTGCTGAACCTACAAGTCGTTTGGATTCAGATGTTTCTTCTACTAGACATGTTGCTACTCAAAGCTATAGGAATAAATCTGTCCTGCTATTTTTACCCATGGTAATATTTAAGGCAATTCACAATTTCACAATTGTGGTGACGTTCATGGTGCAGTGGCTGGCCGCTTCCTTTTACACAGGAGATGTTGAAGCGATCTAGTCCCTCCTCTCAAAGATGGATTTTTTTTAGTTACCTTCTTCTAGCCTTTGACTAATGAGGTACGACATACAAAGCAACAGGAGATTCGAATCCTGCTATTTTACCCATAGCTCTGTCGGGGGAAGAGATGAATTCATACATTCCCCTAGGATATTAGCAGGTTAGAAAATCTAATGAACTCAGTTGGAATTCGCCTCTCTGATTCCTCAATCCGAGCCACTAGCCATTAATGCACCGTGCCTTCACAATGGCTTGATAAGCCGTATAAAATCAACCAATCGAATCGGGTCTATAATTGTATGCGGTATGAAACATCAGTGCTTCCTCTTCTTTAACGGGGGACTTTTGATTCGACTCGACGATTCGATTTTCTGCGCCGATAAACGTTGGATTACCTGAGAAATATATGAACGGGAAAACTACTTCCTTTATATAAATTTCTAAAAAAAATTGTAGGAAAAGGAAATGTAGAAATTATATTTTTGCAAAAAAAAAAAAAAAAAATGATCCACCAAAATATAATTTAAATACATAATTTAAACGTGAGAAGTGTAACGCCATATTGATCCGAGAGATGAAAGCGACAGACCATAATTTATGGAAGCATCTAATGCTTCCAAAAGAGTTATATATGAACAGACTAAGACAAACAGAAATAAACAGACCGAAGATAGATAGATAGATAATAAATCTAGAAGATAGTGAGAAAAATATATATGAAGGGAACATAGATAGATAGATAGATAGATAGATAGATAGATAGATATGAACAGAAATAGATATTTAGATGCCAATCTAGCTAGTTAGCTAGCTACATCGATACACATCAACGTACATTTACCTAGATAGCTAGATCGATATGAAAAAAATAGATTGGTAGCTAGATAGAAACAGAAATAGATAGATAGATAGATAGATAGATATGAACAGACTGAGAATAGATAGATAGGAATAGACTGAGTATAGATAGATAGATAGATAGATAGATAGATAGATAGATAGATAGATAGATAGATAGATAGATAGATAGATAGATATGAACGGAAATAGATAGTTAGCTAGATACCTACTTAGCTAGTTAGCTAGCTAGGTAGATACACATCAATGTACATTTACATAGATAGATAGATAGATAGATAGATAGATAGATAGATAGATAGATATAAAAAGAAATAGATTGATAGCTATCTAGCTATCTAGCTAGCTAGCTAGCTAGATAGGAAATATCTAGCTAGCGAGATACCTACCTAGCTACTTAGCAAGCTATATAGATATAAAACAATATACTAACCTACGTAGCTAGCTAGATAGATCGATATGAACAGAAATAGATTCATAGCTAGATAGAAGCAGAAATAGCTACGTAGATGGTTATAATCAGACATAGATACATAGATCGATCGATAGATAATACGATCGATTATATTATTAACCAGTTCTATGATTAAGGAAATTAACCAGGGAAACATTTGCATTACTAATATGCAGGATATTTCATAGAATATGTACGAATTTTAGACGACATATTTCTCTTCCGGTCGGGACACCTCCTCCTCCTCCTATTTCTCCTTAGTACCAGTAAAGTCCTTTAGACGATAAGATTGCAACCTCATCAGACTCGAGTTTTCTGTTTTCTGTATGAAGTGCGTATTTACGAGATGGATACGCAGGTTATGCAATAATTAAATCCGGAAGCCGAGTTCGAATTCCGGTGGAGATTATTATGTACACGTCCTCAAAAATACTCTTGGTAAAGGTATGGATTCATCTCTTCCCCCCCAGATATGGAGTAAATAACAAGGCAAACTGGAAATTCCAGCCTTGTTTGGCATCCAGTATAGGAGAAGGATAACTCTGAATTCAAAACCGTATATGACCGTCGGTAGGGCACATATTTGAACAGTAATTAAGGTCCGCCCGGCATAGTTGCAGTATAAACCACTGGTTGACTTTGCAGCTGCTGTAGAAACAAAAATGAGCCCGGTCATATAGGCATGTTGGATAAGGTGTAGTATTGTTAATGATGAAGAAACATATTGATTTACAGTATTATTATTTATTATTATGCCTCTTGATTCCTTGGGGAACATAGGGCCGCAACAATACCTCTCCAACGAACACGGTTCCGGGCGATCCTCTTCAGTTCGGCCCATGTTGTGCCGGTTGCTTTCACCTCTGCGTCAAAACTTCTGCGTTAAGCCTGAATTTGGTCGGCCCACTTTTCGCTTCCCTTGTGGATTGCAGTAAAGGACCTGTCTGGGGACACTAGAAGCAGGCTTGTGGAATGTGTGGCCGATTTCCGTTTCTAGATGTCAATCTCGATTAGGGTTTGTCTTGTCCTGTTCACCGTTGGTCGTTGGAGATGACTTCCGGTCACCTGATATTGAGGATGTTCCGGAGACATCGGTTGGCAAATATCTGACGTTTGCGGGTGTTGGTCTTGGTTATCTACCAGGTTTCTGAGCCGTAAAGTAGGACCGAATTGACGTTGGTGTTGAAGATCCGGATCTTGCTGTAAAGTGAGACGGCTGTTGAACTCCAGATTGGCCGCAGAGTGTTCAAAGCGTGTCGGGCTTTGTTGATTCGGCGCTTGATGTTTTCATATATCCCCCCCCCCATTTTTACTGGCGACGGTTCTCAGGTAGACAAACTTATCGACTTCCTTGATATCTTCTTGGTGTAGACGCACTTGGTCTTGTCTGCTATTTAACCTCATGACCTCCGTCTTCCCGATGTTGATTTCGAGGCCAGTCTTCTCCGCTTCTTCTGCAACATGACTCAGCTTCGGTTGGTAAAGTTTGTAGATGTTGGTCTTGGTTACCCGCCAGGTTTCTGAGGCGTAAAGTAGGACCGAATTGTCGTTGGTGTTGAAGATCCGGATCTTGCTGTAAAGTGAGACGGCTGTTGAACTCCAGACTGGCCGCAGAGTGTTGAAAGCGTGTCCGGCTTTGTTGATTCGGTGTTTGATGTCTTCATCTGCGGACAATCTGGAGATCAACAGCCCTCTCGCTTTACAACAAGATTTACAGTAGTTACGTCCAAAAATGTTCTGAAAATAGCCTAGCATGATGAAAAAGGCCCCAAACTTGATAACAACAAAGTTTTATCGCCAAAATATTTATGTCATTATTAAGAGGCAAGACCAAAGTATTTTTATTATTTTATCAAATTTTTTTATCCTTTCTAGCACTTTCGAAATTTTGATTAATATGTTATTTTTACAATTTAACGTTTTTTTTCGGTAAAAAACACCTTGTTTTGAAAATTCTTGCAAAAATCAAATAATTGTCAGACTTTAATTAAATTTCCAGGACTTATTTAGATATAAACGAAATTATTTTTTTAGAATATTCTTCTTACGAATCATTCTCTTAAGTTATGTTACGTTTTTCAGATAAAATCCCTGTATAATGACATTAAACTTGTGATCACTTCGTCAAAAACATCAAGACAGCTACTGTTTGTTAAAAATACAACTACTGTTTGGTTAAAAATGCATTTTTGCGATATTTTAAGCTTAAAGTAAATAATATTTGTTTTAAATCATATTAATTATACTTTAAATCAGCTAATATTCTTCTAATAAATTTACCGAAAAAATGTATTTTATTTTTGGAAGATTTTTAATAAAGAGAATTACACTGCGACGAAAGACGATTAAAAATGGCGCTAATCAGCTATTTTAGTGAAAAAAGAAGAAACACCTTCCAGTCAATTTAAATTAATTTTTTGAAATACAGCAAAGTATTTTGCTTATTGAAAACATTAAATTTAATCTATTA